CTGCAACTTACCTGGCTGCTTCTTGCGATCCAACTGAGGGCTGCTGGGAGCAGGGGGCGGGGCTTGTTTCATGTGCCCGCCCCCTGGGCTCCTTACTGCCGGAGCTCCGCTCCTGTGTGCTCCTGCAGGAGATGACCAGTGTTCCCTCTAAGCTGAGTTAGTGTGAGCTAGCTCACAGTTTTTTAGCCTCCGGCTCACACATTTTTGTCTTAGCTCAGGGAGGATGGCTCCAGAACAAACTAATTCATGCAGTAGCTGAATCACTCGCTCACAACTTTAATGCCAGTAGCTCACAAAGTAGAAATCTTGCTCACAAGACTTCACAGCTTAGAGGGAACATTGGAGATGACCCCTGGTTATATATTATTATTAATTTATAATTTAAATGTATAGACCACCCTTCCCTGGCTACACAGGGCTCAGGGCGGTGAACGACAGTAGAAGCGTGCAGAAATTAATGAAAACAATTCCAGCAGTTTAAATAAAATATTATGAAAGCATTTTTTGCCACCTTCTGGGCACGGAGCAGGATTCACTGGATGTGTGTGTGTGTGGGGGGGGGGAGGTATTTGTGAACTGGAAGGATCCTCCAGGGTCATCTAGTCCAACCCCTCTGCACAGTGCAGGAAATGCACAGACACACAAAGAGAGCCGGGGCTTGTTCGCCCACCCCCTTGGCACATGTTTGTAACACCGCCTTTCTCTTGTCCTCAGCTTTCCTCGCCGTCTGCCCGTCCGAGGTCCTGTGAGGTTCCTGGGATCCAGTAAGTTCAAAGCCAAGGCTTCATTTTCCGGAGGGGGGGGAGAGGCTCACTAGTACTACTCCCATCCCCAGTTGTTCAGCTCTGTCTGCAAAATGTGACTATCTCTTCCGACGTTGCCTGTGTTGCCTACTGGTTAGGGCTGGGGGCAGGGGAGACCTGGATTCAGATCCTTATCTGACCACGAAGCTCACTGGCAGACTTTGGGCCAGCCTTTCTCTCTCGGCCTGACCTGCCTCACAGGGTTGTTGTAGAGAATGAAACAGTGAAAGGGGAAAAGAAGCATGCCGCCCTGAGTTGTTTGGATGAGGGATGGGATGGCAGCATTGCAGATGGGATGTGTGGATCAATGGCCATCCCACTTGCATAGGGGAGGGGCTCATGGTTCAGTGGAAGAGCCTCTGCTTGGCACGCAGAAGGTCCTGGGTTCAATCCCCGGCATCTCCAGTTAAAAGGACCAGGCAGTAGATGATGGTAAAGACCTCTGCCTGAGACCCTGGAGAGCCATGGGGAGGGGCTGTGGTCCAGTGGCAGAGCCTCTGCTTGGCGTGCAGAAGGTCCCAGGTTCAATCCCCGGAATCTCCAGTTAAAAGCACCAGGCAGTAGGTGATGGGAAAGACCTCCGCTTGAGAGCCTGGAGAGCCATGGGGAGGGGCTGTGGTCCAGTGGCAGAGCCTCTGCTTGGCGTGCAGAAGGTCCCAGGTTCAATCCCCGGAATCTCCAGTTAAAAGCACCAGGCAGTAGGTGATGGGAAAGACCTCCGCTTGAGAGCCTGGAGAGCCATGGGGAGGGGCTGTGGTCCAGTGGCAGAGCCTCTGCTTGGCGTGCAGAAGGTCCCAGGTTCAATCCCCGGAATCTCCAGTTAAAAGCACCAGGCAGTAGGTGATGGGAAAGACCTCTGCCTGAGACCCTGGAGAGCCATGGGGATTGGTTCAGTGGCAGAGCATCTGCTTGGCGTGCAGAAGGTCCCAGGTTCAATCCCCGGAATCTCCAGTTAAAAGCACCAGGCAGTAGGTGATGGGAAAGACCTCGGCCTGAGACCCTGGAGAGCCGCTGCCTGTCTGAATAGGGGCTGTGGCTCAGTGGAAGAGCCTCTTCTTGGCATGGAGAAGGTTCCGGGTTCAATCCCCGGCATCTCCAGTTAAAAGGACCAGGCAGTAGATGATGGGAAAGACCTCTGCCTGAGACCCTGGAGAGCCATTACTAGTGAGGGTAAACTAGACTGGTCTAGATAGGCCAGAGATGTGACACTGTATAAGGCCGCTTCGTGTGTTTGTGTGCGTCTGTTCATCTGTGCACCTGGATAAACATCTGGAGCAGAGGTCCATCAGTGGCTATTGCCCAAAAGGTCTAGATGGAACACTCTGTCTGGGGGAGTGATTCTCTGTCTTCTTGGTGCTTGGGGGGGCAAGAGTGGGGGGGGGGCTGCTGGAGTTCTGGCCCCACTGGTGGACCTCCTGATGGCACCTGGGTTTTGGCCACCGTGTGACAGAGTGTTGGACTGGCTGGGCCATTGGCCTGATCCAACATTGGCTTCTCTGATGTTCTTATTTAGCTGGAGCTGAATTACCCCATATGAATGTAAAATGCCTCCTCCCTTGGAAAAAAAAGTGTAAGTAGCAAACAGGCCCGCTGGGGGGAGACGTTCTGCCCCAGCCCTTCCCTTGCGTATGTGTGGAAAGTGCCGTCAAGTCGCAGCCAACTTATGGCGACCCTTCATGGGGTTTCCAAGGCCAGAGACGTGCAGAGGTGGTCTTGCCCTTGCCTGCCTCTGCGTAGCGACCCTGGACTTCCTCAGTGGTCTCCCCTCCAAGGACTGACCAGGGCCGACCCCGCTTGGCTTCTTCTGAGATCTGAGCCACCCAGGTCAGGCCACCCCCTTCCCTTCCTGTGCACATTTTCCTCCTGTGGGATTTTTCATGCTGAGTGGGCAAGAACGTACTCCCTGTTTTTATGCTGTCCTTTGTCCAGGGATTGCAGGACATGACGCATGGTTCTTTCACTCTACGTCCTCCATTCACCCACTTTTGATTATTATTATTTTTTTGCTAAAAGAAACCCAGGCATAAAAATATTAAAGCCAGTGTAGAAAAGGGCCAACAACAGGGCAGAGAGGCCGAGGTCTTCCCCTAAAAAGAACATCAGAAGAGCCCTGCTGGATCAGCCAGTGAGGGTCCATCTAGTCCAGCATCCTGCCTCACACAGTGGCCTCAACCAGTTCCTCTGGAGGGCCAATAACAGGGCAGAGAGGCCGAGGCCTTCCCCTCATAAGAACCTCAGAAGAGCCCTGCTGGATCAGCCAGTGAGGGTCCATCTAGTCCAGCATCCTGCCTCACACAGTGGCCTCAACCAGTTCCTCTGGAGGGCCAATAACAGGGCAGAGAGGCCGAGGCCTTCCCCTCATAAGAACCTCAGAAGAGCCCTGCTGGATCAGCCAGTGAGGGTCCATCTAGTCCAGCATCCTGCCTCACACAGTGGCCTCAACCAGTTCCTCTGGAGGGCCAATAACAGGGCAGAGAGGCCGAGGCCTTCCCCTCATAAGAACCTCAGAAGAGCCCTGCTGGATCAGCCAGTGAGGGTCCATCTAGTCCAGCATCCTGCCTCACACAGTGGCCTCAACCAGTTCCTCTGGAGGGCCAATAACAGGGCAGAGAGGCCGAGGCCTTCCCCTCATAAGAACCTCAGAAGAGCCCTGCTGGATCAAAGCAGTGAGGGTCCATCTAGGGATGTGGTGGTGGAGGGAGAAAAAAGCTCTCTTTCTATTCTGTCTTCCCTGTGTGTAAGAACACTGCTGTCCCCACCACATGCCGGTATCGCCCCCTCAGGCTGCCCCTAAAGCTCTCCTGAGTACTGTACTGCATACCTGCAGTATGGAGTGGTATTGCTCATTCTCCAGCACTGGATTCGGACATCTCATTTCTGGACACGTGTGGAGCAGGCTGAAATGTGCTGCCAAAGGAGAAGAAACCATGATATCCTGGCTAATCAACAATCCTTACAAATTCATTTTTGATCACTGAACAGTGCATTACATATAAAATGTGAAAATTGATGTTTGAATTGCATGGAAAAATTACAACGTTTTGTTTACGGGCCCGTAGCTACGGTGGGGCATTTTGGGGCTCCACACCCTCAAATGTGAGGCATGCCCCACAGCAGCTCCTGCCCCTCTCCTGTGCCATTAAAAGGGCCCTCCAGCTGATCGGCAGGAGCACCTGGCCCGCCGATCAGCTGGAGGGCCCTTTAAATCTTGCAGCAGCCCCTCGCCCTCCCCTCCTCCAAGATTTAAAGGGCCCTCCAGCTGATCAGTGGTCCCCTTAAATCTGTCAGGAGGGGAGGGAGAGGGGCGGCTGCCTTCCCTGAACTCCAAGCGGCAATTTCAGTACTTGAAAAACAGCATGGGAACCCTTTGAACAAATGCTGTATTTCGGGGGGCCTGCACCTGATCTCCAAGCGGTGAAATTGCCGCTTGGAGTTCGGGGAAGGCCTGTGGCTGCCCCCCTCCCCTGTGGCCCTGCAAAATTTCCCCATGCCCCACCAACCCAAAATTTCTGATCAAACGTTCTCCTCCTTAGAAGACTCTTTCCCGTTTGATGAACTCCCTGCATATGAGGATTAAGAACATAAGAACATAAAATAAGCCAATGCTGGATCGGGCCAGTGGCCCATCCAGTCCAACACTCACAACACTCTGTGTCACACAGTGGCCAGGAATACCAGGTGCCATCAGGAGGTCCACCAGTGGGGCCAGGACATTAGAAGCCCCCCCCCTGTTGCCCCCCCCCCCCCGCAAGCATCAAGAATACAGAGCATCACTGCCCCAGACATAAGAACATAAGAGAAGCCAATGTTGGATCGGGCCAGTGGCCCATCCAGTCCAACACTCTGTGTCACACAGGGGCCAAAAATACCAGGTGCCACCAGGAGGTCCAGCAGAGGGTCCAGGACACTAGAAGCCCTCCCACTGTTGCCCCCCCCAAGCACCAAGAATACAGAGCATCACTTGCCCCAGACTTATTTATTTATTACACTTATATCCCGCCCTGCCCACAAACGGGCTCAGGGCGGCTTACAAATAAGGGCCACATGTGCCAAATAAAACATTAAAAACAGCATAAAACATTAAAAACAGACTGAGAGTTCATATCTATACCTCGTGGCCACTGATGGACTCCTGCTCCATACGTTTCTTTCCCCCTGAGATGCCTCCCTGTCTTGCAGTATCTTCACGTCACCAGACCAGCCTGCCAATATGCCTATGATCCCCACTGCCCTTAACACGGGGGGCTCCCTCCCGGACCTCACCAACCTGCACTTCCCGTCCCCGCTGCCCACGCCCCTGGACCCGGACGAGTCGGCCTACCCCAGCTTGAGCGGCGGGAGCAGCACCGGCAACCTGGCCAGCACCATGACGCACCTGGGCATTGGACCCGGCTACGACTCTCCCGGTGAGTTTCTGCCCGAGGGGCCGGGTTTGCCTTCGCCCGGAAGAAGGCCTCAAGGGACTCGTCATGGGGCTGGAGGGAACACTGTCGCCTAGGAGGGCAAGGCCCGCCTTCAGCCAGCAGAGGCCGTGTCCGATTGGTGCTAGGATCCGGGAGGGATGCTAGGGATTGGCCCGTTGCCGCTGAGCTTTGTGGGTAGTGAGCCGGACACCCGATTCCAGTGCCTCATCTGCACGGAGAGGCTCGGGGTAATCTCGGGTTCCCCGTGTCGCCGTCAGTACATAAGAGGAAAAGAGGGGACGTTTAAGACGTCCCGTTTTGGAGGAGCGAGACGCTGCCTTGGCCCAAACTCTCCTTTCTACATAGATGGCGTTCTTGTCACGCCGGCACTCCGGAAACCACGAGAAAAGAGCCAACGGTGACAAAATGCCACAAGAGGTTATGAAAATCTGTCGAGAGGGGCAGGCGCGTTAGTCTGTCCATAGCAGTAGAAAAGAGCAAGCGTCCAGTAGCATCTTCAAGACTTGACAAAATTTGTTGCAGGGGGAGGAGCTGTGAAATGTGGCTAGCTTAAAGGAGTCGCGTGCATCATTTGGAGCCCAATACGCACGCATTTCCCATATATGCCCCGAAGAGCACTACGCTCTATGGATCAGCACCTCCTGGTAGTCCCTGGCCCGAAAGACATCCATCTTGCCTCGAGCAGGGCCTTTTCCGCCCTGGCCCCTGCCTGGTGGAACATGCTGCCCATTGAGATCCCAATTCCGCAGGGCCAGGGCTTTTTTTGTAGAAAAAGCCCAGCAGGAACTCATTAGCATAACAGGCCACACCCAACAGCAGAAACTCATTAGCATATCAGACCATGCCCATGACAGCACAGCTCATTAGCATATTAGGCCACACACCCCATGCCTTCCCTTGGCTTGTCTGGGTGCCCTGCGGCTGCGGGGAGCCTGGGCAAGCCGGCCCTTCGACAGGCCGGGGAAGGGACGGGGAGGCATTTAAATGCCTCCCTGATCCTTCCAGCCCACCTCGGAGTCACGGGGTGTGTGTGTGTGTGTCGCTCTCCAGGCCTTCCCTCTGTAGCCACTGCAGGCGCAGAGGTTTTGGCTGTACTGGGCGTGGCCAACTCTGAAGCCAGCCGGAACTCCGTTCCTGTGCGTTCCTGCCCAAAAATAGCCCTGCGCAGGGTCTGCAAGACGGAGCTGTTCTGCCAGGCCTTTCGCTGAGGCAGCTGATGCCCATCTATGGCCCTTCCTGAGGCGTCTGTCACTCTGTTATTCTCTCATCTAAGTAACAACTACTGGCTACGGCCAGGAACCCCCCACGACCCAAAGATTTCTCTGCTACCAGCTGTGACCAGCATTTTAATATTTATGACGATGTTTTAAATTTTAATGTTTATCGTTATTAACTCTCATATTTTGTATAAATGAAATGCTGTTCCCCGCCCTGAGCCCGCTTCCGAGAGGGGCAGGCTGTAAATGTGAAGAAATAAGTGAATAAATGAATATATATTTACAGCCAATGTTCCCTCTAAGCTGTGAAGTCTTGTGAGCAAAAATTCTACCTTGTGAGCTACTGGCATTAAAGTTGTGAGTGAGTGATTTGGCTACTGCATAAATTAGTTAGCTCTGTAGTGATCTCCTGAGCTAAGACAGAAATCTGTGAACTGGAGGCTAAAAAACTGTGCGCTAGCTCACACTAACTCAGCTTAGAGGGAACACTAGAGACTTCAGTCCGGGGATTATGCTTTTCGTAAAATATAAATAACATGGCGGGAACTTTTGATACGGTCGAAACACTTCATGGGGGACATTTGCAACATATGTATTTTGTTGGATTTATGGATTATTGATTTTTGCACTATGTTGCATTTCTAGGTCATTTATGTTATTATACTATTACATTTAGTTATTTATGGGTTATTAGTCATTCACACAGACTTTCTTATATCTCTGGCTTTTCCCTTATTTCCGCGTTCTCCTTTTGTGTGGGGCTGTTTTGCTCGGCACGCAGAGCTAGTTCTGCACCCAGGGGACCGTGACAAGCCCCAGAGGGGCTGGGAGTGCCGTTGGGGGCTTGGCTTGTTAGTGATGCGTCTGGCTGAAGACAACCCTCAATCCCCACCCGGCCCCTTGCTTTTTGTTTGCTACGACATCAGTGTCCCCACCAGCAGATGTTGCTGGTTTTGTTGCATAGTTGTGCCAATGGGGCCGCCTATCACTGTTCTAAAATCATCGTCGAGGAAACATTTTTCCCCTCTGCCCCGTCTCTTTTCTCTGTCAGAGAGAGAATGTCTCCTACAGAATGAGGCCTGTCATTCCTGTATCCTTCAAAACTGTCGATTGCTTTAAAACTGATTTCTTTTTTTGGGGGGGAGGGGGGATCTGGTGATAGCCCCAGCCCTTGTGAGACAGGTATGAGTTTAAGCCTTCCCTGTTTCACAAAGAAGGCGTCTCTCTTTTCTTAGAAGAAGAAACTGAGGGGTTTTTTGCACGAACGAGGTCCTTGTGCCTAAGTAGCCGTGACTTAAATCATTTTTGTCCCACAGCGCAACTGAGGTGGCATACCGTTGGTCCGAAACAAGGTAAAAAAGACGAGATTTGTAATGGTCAGTGATTCACTGAGCAGAACGCTGCCAAACAGGGCAAGAACACAGCGTTGCTAGCCAAGGTCCCAAGCAAATGAAACAGCTCTCTGCCCAGCAGTAATATAAGGCCAGGCGGCAAGCGAGTATTTCAGGAGAGACCGTTCCACCATTGGGGCACCACCCCCAGGACGGTCCGGGGTCGGTTCCCGTGGATCACTTCTGCCGAAGCACCACCGTTACTAGCAAAACAATAAATCACCGTGTATATATATACAATATAAGCAGATACTTATATATAATGCTTTTAGAAATCAGTTGTCAGCAAAGTTACAGCCAAATATCACATACTGTAGACTCTGTCATATGAGAGCATATTAGGAGCTCCCCAGTCACCAGATTAAACGCGATAACGTACAAAAAACTGTATAAGAATTTACATTGTGATATAATGCTTGCAGCACTTTATTCCATTGAAGATAAGAATACAGACGACAAACCTGAAGAAGGATTCGTAAACGGCCTTATACTAGAAATCCGTCGTTTGTCTGAGAATATACTGTAGTGTTTCATATGTACTGCCAAGCCTAAGATCGCATTCTATAATGTTATAGTTGTAACTTTGCTGACAACTGATTTCTAAAAGCATTATATATAAATATCTGCTTATATTGTATATGTATACACGGTGATTAATTGTTTTGCTAGTTACTATACACCGTGGTCTTGTTTGTTGAAGCAGCACCGTTGGCAGAACGGGTCCCTAGGCGCCCGCTGTCCTTCCGGGTGGCCCCCCGCCTAATCTCTGAAGGCGCCTGCCCGCGAAGACCCTTTCTTCCCCAAGAAGGCGGAGTTAACAGAAGTTACACAAGCCCCGTCCCTTTTCTCGTGGTTTCCCGATCTTTTTCCGGGGACTCCTCATTCCCTCTGCTGCTCCCCCACCCCCTTGGGAGAGGCCTCTCCTGCTCCGCCACCACCACGGCCCCACAGTCCAGTGGATGTTCCATTCCATGTTTTACGTTCCCACCTCCATCGACGTGCGCTCGAGCCCCTCCGCCGTTTCCCCCCCGGGTCGGGGAAGGCAATGGTGGGGGACGGAGCGTTGTGTGTCCATGGGTAATTGTGGCGTGTGTGTGTGTGTGTATTTTTCACCTTTGGTTTTCTTTTTGTCCCCACAGGGCTGTGCTCACCTATGCAGAGCTCCCTCAGTAACCCCTGCATCCAGTCCGCACTCAGCAACCCCTGTCTGCAGGGCTCCCTCAGTAACCCCTCGCTGCGCTCCTCCCCCAGCAGCTCTTCCATCCCCTCCTCCATGAGTAACCAGTCCCTCCCTTCCTCCCTCAGCACCCCCTCGCTCTCCTCCTCCCTCAGCAACCCCTCTCTCCCCACCTCTCTAAGCACCCAGGTGGGGGGCCCCGCCCCCGGCAACCCCGCCGCCCAGCAGCCCGGCTTCAGCGGCTCCTCCCCCTCCTCCGCTTCCTCCCCCCCCCCCCCCCCCGCCCCTTACCCCCCCCACGCCTCGCCCCGGCGCAGGGTCCCGCTCAGCCCCCTCACCCTCCCCATGGGTGGAGACTCGAGAAGGCAGCACCCAAAACAGTTTTCGCCAACTATGCCACCCACATTGTCCTCCATCACACAGGTATGCATGAGGCGCAGACGGGTGCCCGGGCGCCCCCTTGCGCTCCCTTCTGACACTGTCTCTTTATGTTTTATTTCTTTTCTTTTTTCCCCCTGTTGTGTCTTGCTACCATCTCATCTCCACTTTCAAGGGGAATAGCACCCCTCCCTCCGCCTGGTTGTCGTGTTTCTTTGGAGTAGAGGTGAAGCCAGGGGTCGTTTCGTAGAAAAAGAGCCAATGGAACTCATTAGCATAACTCATTAGCATATGCCACACCCCCTGACATCACCTGAAGTGTGTCATAAGGCCACACACCCCCGACATCACTGGAAGTGTGTCATGAGGCCACACACTCCGCCCCCAACGATCCCGGCTGTCGGCGGCGGCCTTGCAGCTCCACTGCCAAGCCCCATGAGGGGCCCGGCGGTGGACCTGCAAGGCCGGCGGGAGTGCAAGGAAGCCCCGCGAAGGCCCTCCCTGGCCCCAGGCAGGCAGGGGTGGGGAGAGGCAGGGAGGAAGCAACTTACCCTCCCTCTTCTCCTGCCTCCTCCTGGCTGAATGAGGGCCGGAAGCGGGGTGGCCGGAAGCAGGGGGCGGGGCTTCGTCATGTGCCCCCCCCCGGTACCTCACCCGGGGGAACTGCGATCCCCCGCGATCCCCCCCGAAATGACCTCTGGGTGAAGCCCATAGATAGCCTTCCCCCTTTATTTTAGGCCGCTGCTGAAGCCTCTTCCGAGCTCTCCTGTTTAATGGCTTGTGTTGCAGTGGAGCAATAGTGCAGTGGAGCTCTAATGCTAGTTTAGCAGCAGCAGAAGAAGAGCTGGGTGTTATACCCCGCTTTTCTCTAACTTAAGGAGTCTCAGAGCGGCTTACCATCACCTTCCCTCTCCCCACAGCAGACACCCTGTGAGGTAGGTGGGGCTAAGAGAGCTCTGAGAGAACTGTGACTGACCCAAGGTCACCCAGCTGGCTTCATGTGTAAGAGTGGGGAATCAAACCTGGTTCTCAAGATTAGAGTTCTCCAGATTAGAATAGCCCACGAGCAGTTCATAAACAGTGTGCCAGGGCAAGAAGATAAAAATTAAACTGTGCCAGGGTTTGGATGATGGGGAAGCAGACTCTAGGACTGTGACAAGACCCTTCAGGAACCAGCAGACATATTGGGATGGCTCCATTCTGCTAATGGTAGTATGCTTCCCTGGCGCCAGGCTTGATGCAAGAAGCTTAAAATCGGGGGAAGAGTCTTTGCGCATGGAGAGCTATCACCATTAGCAGAATGGGTCCATGGAACCCAACCCGTTACGTTAGAAAGGAGTGGGAGGAGCCTCTGTCCCACATAGGGTTGCCAGACCCCCCCCAGTGGAGGCGGGAGTGCCCCGCCCCACCGTCCTGCCACTGATCAGCTGGCCAGTGGGGGGGGGGGGCTTACCCTGAAAAAGAGGGAAGTCTATCTGACGTGCAGCGATGTGTCTGTGTCACTACCCACATGACCCGGAAGTGATGTCATCATGTCTGGGTCATCAGGGCAATCCTCTGGTATTTGGGCAAAGACTCTATGGTAGAAGTCAAATTTACCGTAGAGTTTTTGCCCAAATACCGGAGCATCCCCCCCCCCGACATCCCGGAATTGATGACACCGCTTCTGGGTCACGTGGTCAGTGACGTAGGCACATCTGATGGGCCTTCCTGCTGTTCCCGGTAAACCCCCACCCACCCTAGTCCCACATCAGCCCACAACTTAATG